TCCACGAGAACAGTGTCCACCCACGCCGCACTCGACTCGATCCCCGCAACGTCACGAGAGGTAATTATGAGCTTAATGACGCTGGCTGCTGCGGTCTGTTTAGCATTCCGATGTGGAGGATTCGTACGGTACAGGCTGAAGTCACGTGGCAGGGTTGAAAAGTGTCTAGTTCGCGTACTTCGGTTAGGCACGGGATCAAGTTCAATATGTGCTCGCGAATTCGAGCCAATTCCAATACCCAAGCTTCTTTCCATGGGTTTCGAATACTGCTCAAGTGACTTATTTGATAAAATTTTGTTATATAATTTTGAGAGTGTCAAATTGAATTGAAGTTGACATACACTTCTACGATTTATTTGAAGCGATAGAATAATTGCATGCTGGATTAATATTCTGAGTAATTCAGTATTTCAAGCAATGGATGAGATGATTTATAATTTTCTGGATTTTTCCTAGTTAATCAGACGAACTCGTCAATTCATTATTTCCCCTCGAACAGTAAAATTATCAGAAAAACTTCTGAAGAATGTGATTACCCCGTGATTACCCCTGTCAGTATCCTTCATTCTAGGTACCTACTGTTGCTCTAAAAATTTTCAGAAAATAAGTCATTCGTTTAACGCGTCGAATAAAGTTTCTAAAAGTAGCCATTTTGAAACTCTATAAACTCTCAGATTAATTAAATTTCCAGCAATTTTGAAACGTGATTCCGCGAGGTGGTAAAAACGGAGCAAAGTTTCCCCGCGGCGTCGAGACGCGTTCTTCGAATTTTCGAAGAAATCCACGAAACTCCTCTCTTTCTTTCTTCTGAACAGGTCAAATCTGGTGGAAAGTTCGGAGGACCGGTCTCCTATATATCCTATTGACCGAAGAAAAGCTACTTTGAGACGACGTCGACGTTTATCGAACCGGCAAAGACCACTCAGCGTGCACATTTATCAGGACAGCCGTGTTGTGCAGGCTGCTTCCTTGTTGGAGGATCGTCGTGTCGCGTCCAAGGAGGTGCAGCTGCTTCGACGAAGATCCGATCTGGCTAGATACACGGTCAACTCTGCGAAAAATTTGATTAGATCGAGAGGGGAGTCCTCCGTTCACCAAGACGACGATTCGGATGATCCCGATCAGGATAGGAGATTGGACAAGCAACGGAACCACGAGAGAACCTTCGGGGAACGATGTCGTCCCTCTGATAATTCCGTTTCCAAACTAATGGCTCGTTCCAGGTAACGAGATGTATCGTGTCTTATCGTAGAATTTGTTTTCGACAGAAAGAATGTTGACGAAGTGTTATCATTTTGCTCCAACGTTGAGAGAAAATTTTAAACCATTGAGTACCCACGGTTCTAAAGATATATCTGTGCCTGGGTCGATTTTGAAAGGACTTTTGCCAAAATTTCGAGTATCTTTCTTATGTGGAAGAAAACTTTGCAAAGTTTTGCACAGAAGCATGAAAGAAAATGTAAGACGAGTTGTGCAATGGATGGAGTACACTATGTGACAAAATTTCCAAAAAACAACAAAATAAAAAAAAAATCACTAGAATTTTTTTTAATGAAAACATTTTTTCTCATATGAGAATTCTCTTCAAAAAAAAAAAAAAACAAAGTATTAGAGGACTTAGGTCGAAAATTGATTAGCTTAGAAGTTATGACTTTTGTCTCGAAAGCCCATATACACGAATCACTCTGTGACGGCAAAAAACCATTTCTCTAAGCCTTATAAAAATATCGGTGCAGTCAAATTTTTTTTTTTTTATGACAGCGCCCGATAACCGAGAAGTCACGCGTACGCATTTGTTCGATCGCGCGCGGATGAGCCTCTGTTCTCCGCCCCTGAGCGCGGGCTCTACGCGCGCTGTAATTGGCCAGTGTTTTTCGTTAATAATTCAAAAACGAAGCTTCAAACTATATTTTGGAAAAGGAAAAAGTTGTTCAGAGTCACCCCAGCAACCCCCCATTTCCGGGTGTTCGAGGAGTTACGGGACACCCTGTATAATCAGATGTAATATTTGATAGTTCTTGCCATTAACGTCCGTTAATTACTGCACACTGCGTTTAACGACCCATAAATATAGTCTTTACTACCTCTTAACCGCTGCATTTATAGATCATCAATTGTACTCAGCTTTAATGACGAATACATTCAACGTTCACGAGAACGTCACAAATTGTCTTCTATCGTTGATCATACTTTTTCATCCTAACGCCTTTTAAAAGCTCCACCTTAGCTTGGCCAAACTATACCTCGCCCTCAGGACGCGTATTCGTACGAACTGGAATTCTAATGAACTCGATACGTCGAAACAATCAAATATGTACACAGATTCTTACAACTGTATGCATTGCAGCCTTCAGATGTTTTATTTGTCATCCGAATACGCATCCACTATAACCACAGCCTTATGTGAGCCGTTTAATGCACAAGGGGTGTAAGTCAAAAAATTGAATTCTGGATAATGAGGAATAAAGTAAAAGTTCTGTAGAATTCAACAATACGAAAGAATGATACATCTCTTTTATGTAAGCCACTGTGTAGTGATACCTTCAGCCAATAATAATAGGGATATATGTATAATCATTTTATTCAATACGTCATTCCTGCATACAGCGTCCATGCTATTTGTAGTGTGTGGTTCTTACTTATTTTGCCATCTACCGAGAAACTAATGAAGATACACTTACACCACTTCTGCACAAAACAGTAATGAAAAAAAAAAATGACATGTGGTTTTAAACCAAATAGTCAAAAACTTGACTTACACCGCTTTTGCATTAAACGGCTCATCTGTCGATAACATGTATCATTTTCTCTCTCTTTTCTCTACCCATAACAAAAATGTTAAAGAATGAAAAAAAGTGAACCAGCACAATGCTGAAAATTATCGACAGCCCAGGAAGAGACGGCGATTGTAAAGAGCGAAGAAACGAAGCCGCGTGCCCTAACCTAGCCTATCTAATGCAGCAGATGCATGCTCGGCCAAGGGAACGAGGCGACGATCGTGCATTCATCAGCGTAAACGACGGCGGTGGCCCGAAGCGAGTGTTTCCATTCCAGCCAACCCCGAGCGGTAACCTGAAGATCGTTCCTAATCAGGTAAATGTTCCGGTCAATCGTCGATTCGCCGGTGAATCGTCGAACTTTGGGAATGTTGGCCTCAGGGCAGACGCGTAGTTGTTTTAGGTGGTGTTCGAATCGAAGAAGGTTAGCGTGCTGGTCGCTGATCCGCGACACACGAAGGTTAACGTCAAGGCCGAGCTAAATAGAGCCGGAAACGAGCTCGGTGGACGCGTTTCCGAGTCCTCAGCGCGACCCAGGCTCGTCGATCTTCCGCCGGGTGTCTCATCGTCCACGATCAATCAGTTACAGGTAACATGGGTGTCATAACTCTCGTTTACGTTCCGCGTGACGCACCTTGATCGACTCTCTCGTTAAAAGTGTTACCTTTCCGAGAGAATTGTACCGAATTGCTGGGACACTTGAAGAAAGAAATAGGAAAGAATTCAGGCTGCTGTTTGTGCAGACACTCGAGATGAGACGGGAGAAATATAATATCTAAATGTCAGTTTTAAGCTCGAAGAGACAAAGTGTACCGTTCAAAGGAGAAAATGTGAAGATACTATTGACCTTCTTTGACGCCGAAGATCATGGTATCACGTGTCTGGTCACATACGACACTTGTGATTTTCATAAACCTCAAAGATTAACAATGACGTCAAAGGAGAGTCTGTGTGATAAAATAGTGCAATTTGTCTCGTTAGAGGATTTACTGCGAGAGTGCAGTGCATGCTTAAGTCTTCATTTACCAGCTCAAGTATCACGCTACATTAAAATTCAGTTTTGCAGCCAAAAAATCTGAAAAAATTCCCAGCACTGTATCCTACTGACTACAGTGTCTGCAATGTTTTTCATAATTTTTCATACGATAGAACACGAGAAAAAGCTACTCTTCCTCCTGCAATTTTCATCGCGTTCGTCTGAAGAGTGACGTGTTATTTTCAAACAGGCTCAGAAGAAACTGCCAGCTGTCGACGACGAGTACAGGCCCGCGAAGCATCCGTTCAAAGCGAAGATCGGCCAAGCGGAGATGATGGAACAGAAACAGCAGCAACAGCAGCATCCAGCCACGTCAGCGTCTTACGAAACACCGTTGTTGCAGGAGGTGCCACTCTCCACGTGAGTTTTCTTCGTCGATCGAGATACGGTGCCACGCGAGTCATCCTTCGAGTAACAGTAGCTATTTCCAACGGGGAAAACCGTAAAGGAGAATGCGCGGCTCGATGCAATTTTACAGGAGAAACGACACAGAGCCACGAGTTTATTGTCGCGAGAGAGGAATTTTTCCATAAAATTGCCTCGATCGAGTATCCTTCTTTTCCCCGGGTATCTCGTAAGAGAAAAAAAAAAAGAAAAAAAGAGAGGAAAGCAACTCGCCCGGGCACATCGAGCGTATTTCCCCGACCGATGTTTCCCAATAAACGTTTGATCGTCGCGTAATTTCGCGCAGACTCGGATTTACGAGTGAACAGCCAATCGATTGGGATAACATAATTCTCCCGGAGAAGACCGACCTGTATCAGGAGTTAGCCAGGCGTATCACAAATTACAAGTAAGCTTATAGTTGTATCCGATCGATGTAACGAAGTCCCGGTCGGACCAACGACAGGATTACGGGGGCTAAATTTCCTTCGATCGATCTTACCAAGGAACGCCGATTGTATCGTGCGAATCGATCAGGACGAGTTCCATTGCCACCTGCTGGTGTTGCAGAGCTACAGCAGCTTTTTCGACGAGAAGAATTGCAAGGAGATCGATTTGACCGGGGTGAGTTATCGGTTCTTTTCTCGTCCTCGAATGTAACGCTCCTTCATTTACGAGCACCAACGGGAATTGCTGACAGCGGCATATTGCCCGCGAGGAAGTAACGAAGCCACGTGTCCTTCTGTCTAAGAGCTTCGATTTAACGAAGCGATGGGTACTTCTGTCGTGTGCAAGATGAGAGACGTTCGAACCAGATGAGTCTCAATTAGAACTCGAGAATTATCAATGAGGAACCGGTGTTAACTTGAAGTTGAAAAATATGACAAAATCTTGGACAATTTTTCATGCTTCTTTAATACGGTAACCTTGCAACGTGTCCACTTTGAGATATTCGTTTGCTAGACGTTCGGCTGGAATTTCGGGAGACCCTTAACCCTTTCATTACTATTGGCGCCTATAGACGTTTTGAAAATTTGCTCGCACTACACTGTTGGAACCTCTTGGCGCACTTCCACCTTAATTTAATAAACCGAATTTTAAAACGACACGGTCAAAATAACAAATTTTGCAGCCGTGGTTGAAAATTTATCGTCAGTCAACGTAGCGAAAGGGTTAAAAGAGATCCTCAGATAAATGCAAATATCCAATTGGGCACTATTTTCAACATCGTTTCAACATCCACTGCAAAATACACGTAAAACCATTGCAGCTTTATCTATAGAACACTGAAAGTGATCTTGAAAATTTAAAAACAAAATGATAAAAAGTGCGCTGCAATCGTCTTAGGGGTCCCTTTGAACCGTAATATGCGACACAAAAAGAAACAATTACAAAAGAAAGTAGACCACAATCATCACAAGAGCCCCTTCGAACCATTTCATACGACAAAAAAGGAAAAGTCAATCTGTCCACCTGCAAGAGAATAATTCAAGGTGATCACGTTACGATGTTCACCCTGTCCAACTTCTGTCGTCTATTTCACCATTTCCATCTTTCATCTCGCTCGCCGATCGTCCTGCCATAGTGCTTGCAATACCACTAGCCGCGCCATATTTCTCTTCAGAGACCGGCTGATTTATTCGGTGACCACGGGCCACGTTAAAATCGCGAACGAAATTTCCCGTAGCTTTCACTAGCACTCGACCGCCATCGATCTTCGTCCTTTAACGAGGCGCGTTAAACGAGTCGTAACCATGGACCAGCGTTTCTTCGTTCGTCGATACCCTTAACGCTATCGTGTCGCTCCACGCGTCGACAATTTATTACGCGACAACGTAACGCCCAGGGAAACTACGCTCGTCCCTCGAGTTTCCTGGGAAAAGCGGCACATTATACCCCCTTGCACCGAGCAAGATGTATTACGGGCTTATCGGTATACGGAACAGTCTAGCGGATCCGGAATAAAGTCCTTTTGTTCGCGCGATCCGATTTTCCGCCACCCACACCCCCGCTGACAATGCGTATCTATCGTTCGCGTTCGATCGACCGGCAGTCCGCGTTCATCTTTGCCACTCCACCCACCTGGACATTCTTCCGCTCGATCCTCCTCTTATTTTGCTTCTTCTTCTTTTTTCCTTTTTTTGAATGATTTGCCGGATAGAGTGGCCGATTCGATAGGGTTCCACGGATCCTACGCGTTCGATTCGCTTTCACAACGAAATTCGTCCATCCCTCGTGATGCAGGGCTGTTTCAGGGGACGTGAAGTGATCGAGTTTTTACGGTGTTTGGGATTTAGGTTGTTTCGCGGAGGGATGTCGAAAAACTTGAGACGTTCTCGAATTTTGTCTGGTATTCCAGACTACGATTTTTGAAGTGAGAAATGGTATGGAAAGGATTTTCGTGGAGGATTGTCTGAGAAAATATTCTCTTTTGTCCAATGAAAGTTTTACTTTCGTTCTTCTAGAGCTGTAATTTTGTTTCGGAGAATCTTTCGTGATAATTATTGCAACTTTGTGATCATCTGGGTACCTTTCAGTTTCTTTTTGATTTTACGTTTCGTTAAATATACAGGGCGTTTCTTAAGATGTTTATAGGGGATAGAGAAATAAGAGAAACGTTTGTATAAACATGTGTTCTACTTAATCTTGTTCCTGAGTTGTAATCCTTTTCGTGTTCCAGCGATATGCAACTGTTTACTTTTACAGGAAGTGTTAAAAATGACTACAGTTTTCAAAAATTCCACGTATTTGTCGAATTGTTTGTTAGCCATAGACTAAACAATCGCTTTCAAGCGGTCCCAAAGATAAAAATCCAGTAGATTTAATTCTAGAGACCAAGAAAGCCAGACAAACGGTTCTGTATAACCTTTCCATTTGTCACACAATCAAGTGGAACTTCCTGCAATAGTTCGTTCAATTGACCACTCGAGAAATTGGCATAGTGACCTCCTATCAGGAAAATCAGTTAAACTACATAACTCAGTTTATCATTAACCCCTTGCATCGTAATTACTCGTCACACTCATAGTGTAGAAAATGATCGAAATGTATTCTTGCTTTCGGGTTGACATTCGTTGCATTCAAAGGTTGACGATTACAAAAAAAAAATCGTATACAATATCTTGACTTCTTTTTATTTAACACTGTATTGGAACAGAGAATAGCCGAGGCTAACGTATGTAAAATACATAGTGACTAAAAAATCGTAAGGCAAGGGGTTGAGTATCAGCGAAGTACAAAAATGACTGTAACTCGAGAAGAAGATGAAACAGGGCACATGTTCACATGAACACTTTCAAACTTCTTACACCTTCATCCACCGTTGAAGTGGGTCACGCTTGCAAAGAAACGCCCTGTATAGAATAAATACATCGATAAATCGGTCACAGAAATCGATCCACATCCTCTATTCCCACACCTCGGAAGAACTCTCCATAAATCACGAAGATTCGAGCAAGTTGCACGGCTGTTCAACCGGTAAGCGTTCATAAATTACAACTTTCGCAACTGTCCGTCCACGATAATGACAATCGAATAAATATACGGAGCCGGAGCTGGTCTTTGGTCCAAGTCAAAGAGCGAGATAAATCTGGCCCGGTGGTGAAGGTTCGAAATCGCCAAGTAGGCAGCGGCAAGGGGTTGCCTGCGACCCCAATCTCTTGTGTCAGCATCCTGTTCTTCTGGCCCCTCTACTTCCCGTCGTTCCTCCACCGGTGACTCGGCGGGCTCGAAGCCAAGCGACCTTGAACTCCTTTTCGCCTCTCCCTGCTCGCGTCTATATTTGACTTTCTTTTTACTTAAGGGTGAATAGAGGCGGCTCTCGAATACTAGCGCCGCCATTTAATGATCGCGAAGCCTCGTCATTTTTATATACTGTCTCCGCTTTTGTTGTCTCGTGGCAGAGCGCGCTCTCTCTCTCTCTCTTCTGCTCGACACGTGTCAAGGAGACGTGTAATTAGAATTAGAAGGACACGTGTAACGAGATGACCAAGCCTTCTGAGCGATGCAGAAAGGCTGGCTTTGTTGACGTTCATGACTTCAATTCGTCATTCGTTTCTTCTTATTCAGGCAGAAAAATTTTTAGGTGGAGGTTAGTAGAAGGTGAACAGTGAGAAATTAGGGAGATCTACCATTTCTCCTATTCACAACGAATGATACTTTATGCGAATATCTTTTTCTAAGAAATTTCGTTGCAAAATGTTGTCAGATATAGTGAACTGTATAATTTTGTGTTATTGATTTTCTTAACGTAGGGTTTCTTTCCCTGTTTTTCTAGAAATCTTCTCAGCAATCTTAGATATCTGTTCAATTGCAATTAGTTCGGTTAATAATGTGTTAAGTGTATCTATGAATTTTTTTTACACTTTCATTACAGTGGACGCATACAGGCGCTTTGAATATTTAATTTTTAAACTTTGAAACAAATTTTTTCAAAAATTTAAGAGTGCCAAAACGAAAGATTCTTTGACTCTGAAGCAGGTGTCGATTAATTCGATAACATTTGAAGAATCAGTCTAGGTCTACAATTTTTAAAGTTCGTTTTAGAATTAAGAGAGAACTCGTCATTTTTCCGCCGTTACTCTTCAAACGTTAATGCTTCGACGTAATTTTAATACATAAATTAGAGCGACGTGTCCTCGAAGGCTTTCTCGATCATCTACGACTGGATGATCAGCTCGCAGAACGAGAGCTACCGCCTTTTGCAGAGGGACAACATTCTAGAGATCTTCATCACTGCTCAGTATCTCGAAATTAAAGGTAAGATTCCTTAGAGAATTGTAAAATTGATTCATTTTTACATTAACATTTCAAACGCCGTGACTGCATTCACACAAAAATTTAACCCAAATCAAACCGTAGATTCTTCGTTTATACAGAATGTCTCACTTGCGATTTCATTTATTTCCGTTGTTACTGAAAGTAAGAAAACCTCATTAAAGGAGTTTCTACTTAAAAAAAAAGTCCTTTCAATTATCTATCGACCTGCAAAGTTTCGTTAAAATTCAAGTGCTACACTTCATGTGTTCAAACTTACTAGACATAAAGCTCTAGAATTAAAAAAAAAAAGTAGTAAAGAGCAATACCTAACATCGCTACAATTCAAATTCTATTCATATTAATTTAATCGCTGCAGGGCGATAATCACTTGCAGCAAAGAAGCCAATTGATAAGCTTCAGATTATCAAAATATTAAAACAAATTTACGATCTGAAACAGCGTGGATCTCCGTGCTTTGCTTCACCCAAGACTAAGAAATAAATGCAAACGATACTAGACAAAAATGGGGGAAAAGCAACAGCATAGAACGTTCAGGGATTTTGCTATCGCATAAATGTAAATTTTCCTCCATCTCCGTCAACGTGGAAGGCTCTCGCGAACAATGATCCTGTTTACATCGCGCAGCCGGCATCGTTTCCCACCACCATCAATCTTCTAAAACACGACTGCACCGCATAATATATGGCCGATGCTTTCTAGCACGCTTTAAAACTTCGAACTCCCTGTTGCCAGGGAAAGAATGAAAAGTTTCCAGCCGCGATAGGCATTCGGTAAAGTCTCGATGGTGCCGCGCGCTCGAGTTTCCTTGAATACGTCACTGTCCAACTTGAAACTTCAATAAACCATATGAGATTTCGTGGAGAGTACTCCGTGAAAGTGTGTCCGTGTCTTTTCTAACGAAACACAAGCAAATTCTACCCTCTCTTCTTCGCTGAAAGCTTGATCGCTGAAATCTGTATGTCTCGGAGAAAATACGATCAGCAATGAGCTACCGCTGTAAATATCATACTCTTCTCTTCTCAACGTTCGACAGAACTGGAAGAACAATGCTGGGCTTTCATAGACAACGACGAGTTGTTCACAGAGGACACCGCGTTTCTGTTGTACCTGGAGGCGAAGAAGATTCGAAACACCGCGGTTATGGAACTGATGGTGCCGAGAATTATGAAATTCTTCCTGATGCTCGTCGGCACTAAAGACTTTCTCGAGCTGTCCATGGACGAACTGTGTCTTTTGTTGAAGTCGAATTACATTTCTGTCAATAGGTACTTTTACACCTGCAGATATGTACGTGTAAGAAATGTATTTCAGCCAGAGAACCTAACTGTTGTAACCTTAATTCATGAAAGTTGTAGTGTAATTAATATTTTCTCGATTTGAACACTTTTGGTTACCTATAAACCAATATAAATGTTTGAAAAGATCTTTGGTTACGGATTACCAATACCAATCAACGAACACTTTTTTCTTTTTTGGTTACTGATAACTTTTATCGATCACGAAAAAATTTTTCGGCTAAAAATATTTCTTTCTAAACTACTGATAATTAGGATCAATTTGTTTTAATTATTTAAAATGAACTATAATAATCGTACATATCTGTATTTAAGTGAGAAAAGTTATGAAAATTTTAGAGTAAAAGAATTTAACATTTTAATTGACGATAAAAGAAATAGGTTATTGAGATTTATATAAATTATTGATAAACAGAAATTTCAAGAATTACACTGCTAACGATGGTTAAAAGTAATAAACAAACTTTTTCAGCTGAAATTTTTCCGTCGATATTAATCAGTAACCGGAAAAATATAAATAATTTATATTTGTCATTGAACCAAGAGTTAAGAATTAAAAATTTGGAATTATGTTCAATTCCGAAATATTTCTTCAAAATTTATTATTACCTTCAATAGAATTACCTTCGATTCTTATTATACTTTCAACTTGAGCAACGAATAACTCTTCCTCCACGATTTTTTAAATAAAAATCTTTTTAACAATCGTTGCATTTGTTTCCTAATTTTACCTTATTTCTTGATTTCTTAAACAGCGAAATGGAGGTTTTAATGTCCGCTGTACGATGGTTGATGTACGACTGGGAGAACAGAAAGCAATACATGCTGGATGTATTAAAATGCATTAGATTTGGATTGATCGCGCCGTGGCAGTTGGTGGATGTCAAGAGGAATCCAGAAAATCCCGAATTTATGGAGCTAATGTCTTATCCGGAGGTGCAAAAGATGGTCGACGATGGTTTAGCGTAAGAGTCTCATTTTTCACTGATTCTTTACGACGATAAAACATCCTTCCTATACCTCACGAAGCTCTTTTTCAGTTTTGTCATTATAAAATATTGGTACGGTAATCAAACGGAGGATTACTATCATTGGATCGACCTATTGGGTCTCTCAGAACCGACGAATCGAAATTGGGCTGGAGAGGACAAGGTATTTTCAGTCAATCTTTAAATGACAACATTTTTACAAATTCCAAATTATATTTCCTGCTTCTAGAACTACGTGACGTATCGAGAATTTTTGCTGTACCTCGAGGAATATCAGAGAACGAAACTTTCAGAGCTGAAAGCACCAAAAATACGTCCAAACAAAACACCCACGAATTCACCCCATAACGATTACTCGTTTCCGCCTACTAGAGTGCCTAACAACTACGTTCAGAGCTCCGGTATGTTTGAATATAAAATTAACCATTTCCTTACTAAGGGTGACTATAGTCATCCATTGTCGAACACTTCCTCTATGCTAAAGGTATAATAACTATAATCATCCAACGTTGAATGCTCGCTATACTAAAGCTGACTATAGTTCTCCGACGTCGAACGCTCGCTCTATACTAAAGGTGACTATAGTTCTCCGACGTCGAACGCTCGCTCTATACTAAAGGCGACTATAGTTACCCAACGTTGAAGGCTCCCTCTATACTAAAGGTATAATAACTATAATCACCCAACGTTGAATGCTCGCTATACTAAAGGTGACTATAGTTACCCGACGTTGAACGCTCACTCTTTACTAAAGCTGACTATAGTTCTCCGACGTTGTACGCTCGCTCTATAATAAAGGTGACTCTAGTTCTCCGACGTCGAACGCTCGCTCTATACTAAAGGCGACTATAGTTCTCCTACGTTGTACGCTGGCTCTATAATAAAGATGACTATAGTTACTCGACGTTGAAAACTCACTCTATACTAAAGGTTACTATAGTTACCTAACGTTGAACGCTTGTTCGATACCAAAGGTGACTATAGTTCTCCGACGTTGAACGCTCGCTCTATACTAAAGGCGACTATAGTTACCCGATATTGTACACTCGCTCTATACTAAAGGCGACTGTAGTTACCCAACGTTGAAAGGTACAATAACTAAAATCACTCAAAGTTGAACTCTCACTGCATACTAAATATGACTATAATCACCCATAAAAATTTCGAACACAGCACAGCTTGATATTTCCAGGATAACCGATTTACTTTTATCGAATTGTTTCGTTCCATTATCCTAAGAACTGTGTAAATAACGAGAAAAAATTTCTCTTCGTCGTTAAAATGTACAATCGCGTTTTGACCGTACACTACCGTAGCGAAAGGGTTAAAATTGAAGAAAATATGAAACGAAATTATTTAATCTGTTAGGCGACAACGGCGCAATTCACAACGACACAGCGATGCATTCGAGGCACTCGAAACCAGCACCGCCGAATTATTTGCCAGTGGAGATGCCTGAGGGCATGATGATGCCTCCGAAATTAATGAACGAGTACTTGAGCAACCTGGAGAGAAGCAAAGGGGTGAGTAACCCTGGGGCGAATCGAAGATCGACGCAGAGGCCTCAAAGTGGACCGACTCATTGATCGACGCTCTAAAAGAAACTTGCAAAATCGCGACGCTAATACTTTTTCTACTATTTTCTACTATCATTTTACTATCACGAAAGGGAGAAATATATATTTCTATAACAAACTTTTTCTCGTATCGTGATTTTGCAACGAGGTCAACAATCGACAAAGAGACATCACAGATGCAGACATTGTATATCAAATATTTAGTTCGTATGTCATATATATAATACATATACATTAAAAGTTCGTATTTGTGTAAGAAAAATGTACGTGAATTTTTTGAATACGCGTACAAATGTTTCACACGTCTCGAAGAGAGGCACGTGATCGAAAATTAACCGACACTTGGTCGTCGTCGAGGATGGAAAAATAGTTAGCTGCGGACTATTAACGGGTGAGTCGTAATTGCGATCGAGTTCTCGAGATGGAAAAGAAGTTAGGCCAGTTTCCGCCAGTTTCATAAACATTCCACCGTTTTCCTATTTTGCAGGATTTTGCAATTAATCGCGCGGTTATCGTGAAAGAAATCTCGAGGTAAGCTTACGTGCTTGTAAGTGGAAACAATAAATTTCCCCCCCGAAGAAATGTCACGGAGCTTGTAGTCAAAAGGTCAGAGTTTACGTTGCCCGCGAAAATCCGTGCTTTAATCCCGAAACTCCTTGCATACACAGGGAGGGTTAAAGGCCATTATATGCGCCGAGTGACTCGTAGAAACAGCACTTACAGCGTATAAGCTCTTACCTTGAGATTACACTGACCCCGTAACAATTCAGCTTCGGTTAATTGCGTCAAACGGTCGCATTTGCGTTAACGTTTGGGATCGTGGGTTAAATTGGAGTACAGGCCACGTGTTCCTGCATTGCTCATGTTAAAAAGTTACACGCGATATAATATCCTTTGACGCAAACAGTACGACGTAATTGAAGAAAAGAAACTGCTATAAACTAACATTTTCTCGGATTTCTTCCATTGAAGCACATCCAAGCCTCTGAGAATCGTTCCCCCGATAATTCCGACCATTCTGCATTTATGGCTGATCATTCGACGCGTTTACAGCCGCCATTGACACCGAGACCGAATTAGAAACGGCTTAAACGATCTATGAACAGACTCTTTAGTTAGAACATCCGTGACACACATCTGACTCAGCGGACAGTGAACGTGTCAAGATCATAAGAATGAAAAATTAGCACCATTTTTTTTCTCATCAATTTGTCACTCGTCTAGCCACGCCAGAAACTTGAGAACCGCGTCAACGTTTACCGGCTATCAATTTTTAAATGTGAAACGTGTATCGCAGTTGATTTTCTCAATTACAATTCGAATTAAACTACGAGTCCCAAACGGTTATCTCCTCTCTTCTAAGTTTAACCCTTTCGTGACCGAATTACTTTCTTCGACAATTAAAAATTTTGCGACTTAAGAATTTAAAAAGAGCACATTCCCAAGTGTGAATAGTACTGAAAGAAATTAGGCAGCACTGAAAGAAATACTTGGCAAATATTGTTTCTGTTGGCAATCCTTCACAGTGAAGGGATCAAAATTGCCCTGGAAGATGAGAGTGATAAGCATATTCGGTAAAAATTATTTCTTATTTCTTATTTTTCCAATTTATCGTTGAAGAGTAGAACATTCGCCAATTTACACTGTTCCTCTATCTCTAACAGTTTTCGAGATATCAAACCAAATATATTTACATATTACCTCTAACTTAGAGAGCGATTTTCACCCCTCCGATGTGGACGATTGCTCGTATAAAAAAAGACGTGTCGAATATTTCTTCAATTGCTACCGTATATCAAAATTTCATAAAAATCTGCAATTACCACTTCCACAATGAATATTAAATTGAAATTAATTTCGTCGCATGCGCCCCACCGGTCACGAAATGGTCGATTAACAATTTTATCCGTTCAAGAATTTTAACGAACATCGTACAATAACGAATAATTCCTAACACAGAGTGAGGAGAGAACAATCGTCTTCGATACAAGATTCGGTGGCGGAGAATCGCCGAGGCTTTCCTGCAGACCGTCAATCAACGAGAAACACACGATGGAAGAGTGTCAGCGCAGCGTGAATTCATCGGTAACATCGTCGACGAGATATATCTCTCGTCGCTGATGCAGCTTGAAGAAACAGTTTTTCTTTTCTCTTCGTTCCTCTTCTCTTTTTTTCTCTCTTCCCAGGACGTCGATAAATTGGATTACGAGAGCCGGCAGGAGAAGAACGCGGCGGATGTTTGCCGGTGCCAGCAGCAGCAGCGCGAGTCGAATTTCATAAGACTCTGGTAAATCCGAGGAAGAGGCAGCCACCACGATACAGGCTGTCTACAGAGGATACAAGACGCGGCGAAAACTCGACGAAGTTAGTGGATACGCTTCGAAAGTTTCGCCCTCGGGTAAGGGTGTAGGTGTCGTGGTGAAGCAACCACGATGGCGTCTCGATCCGATTGATTTAGGTGAATTGAAAGGGAGAAAATAGCATAAAGGGCGATCGAGTTGCTTGAAGACAACTCGCTATGGAATGTTCGCTAGCTGCAATCTTCAATTGTCTAATTTTATCGGGTTGCCTGGATAATATGTTCCAAAGTGAAGAATGTGCTTTTTGAAAGTATCGAAAGTTATACTTTTAAGCAAATTTTCTTATTTGATTCTTCTTTCACGCGAAATATTGGGTTGCTCGGGAAATTCGTGTCGATTTTTGAGTAAATGAAATACTTTCAACTTTATACTGTTGAGAGCTGCCCTGGTATTTTCAAAAATATTGTTATACTTTTAAAAGAATTTTTTATTTTATTCTTCCCTTACGTGAAATATTTGGCTGCCCGGAAAATTCCTGTCGACTTCTAAGCAAATGAGTAAATTTCATATTTTAAGAAATTATTTCTTTATTCTATAAGATACGTGTCGTTCTATTTTGCAACATTCCGTCATCTTTCTGGCGATTTGAAAATTCCATTTTGCCAAAAGGTTTGATTTTTCCTTTAGGAGATCGAAATTTTCATCTTTAAATTCTGCGCAGATTACAGTCAATGTCGATTAAAAGTTTGTGACTGCTGCGCATCGCAAGCTAGGCAAGGATTTTCGAGAAAGAAGATAGCAATCTTAAGAAACGTTCGATGAATTTTTCCACGATCTTCATCTAATCTCCCAAAACGAAGCAAATTGCTACCGAACCCTACAATATCAATTCTAAATTTACAAAAAATTGATAACAAATTCGATATTGGTGTAAATTGACAAATGGTCTCAAACTTTAGTTTCACGTTAACACTTAGAATCATAAAAAGAATCATAAACCAAGCAGAAAAATACTTGCTTCCTCATCCAATGAAAGTTCGACTGCTAGATACTGACAGAATAAAAAGGACCACCGCTTCACCTAACGTTGATAACTACGTATTACACAATAGAATCGAAAAAGTTTTTAAAACAAATGATAGTTTGCTCCGTTTGAGTCTCCAGATTTTATAAATACATTTGTATTAAAACAAGTTTGGTGAAAAAATTTCATACACGTCGTTCCCCTGAACGACAGATAAAGAAATCGACATCTGGAGAGAAGCAGCATATGAAGAAGGTAGTGCAACTTTTGGGCATTCCGATGGACGAAACGTTTCGCAATCCCTCGATGGAGCCCATCAGAATTTCAAACAGTTCAGCAAACCAAATGAGAAAGGAGAAGGACGAAACACAGCGCGCGTCGAGTCCCAGAAAGAGGAGCAAGGAACCGTCGATCCTTCGACTTCAAAATCAACGTTGCATCGAGGATCCGTCGAATCAGGTAGGCAAGAAATTTTCCGTCGATATTTCCTTGTACATCTACGTGAAAGTTCTACTTATTCGAAGAAACCGCGTCACGAATGTTTCAGTTCGATGCTAGTAGTGCCGCTTGTTACACGATCGAGGAACAAAGAAAACAGGAAATTCCGCAAAATTCGACGAGCCAACGAGAAACATTGAAATCCATCAAGACTATAAAGGCACCGGTGTTTTTCTCGCATTACGACGAAAGAACCAGTTCCCCATCAGATAACACAGACACGGACGATCCTTTCTCTCCGCGGACCGACGCGAAATCGACGACCACTGATTTCGATAATGGCGTCGCGATCGACGAGGAGAAGAACCGAATGAGTTATCCGGACAGCGAGAATATTCAGCGAACAAAATTTACCGCTAGAAGTAACCAGATTCGAGCATCGAACTACAAGCCACCTCTGTGAGTCTTTCGAATAACGATTATATTCGGATTTTCGATTTCAACATTCTGGCTACTTTGTCTCAAACTATGCTAACACCTTTTACTTTAAGGATTCGGACTGAAAATGACCAAAAAATTAAAGAGAATCCTTTTTACTGAAAAAAAAACTAGAACATTTTTTGAACATTTTGAGCTATTCGGAATTTTCAGGCAAAGTACGAAGTAATATTTTGAAATCGTGACACTTTAAACATTGCCTAAAACATCTCGGCCTCAGAATGGCTCTTACACTTCGCGCGTAATATACAGGGTGTTCAAAATGTTGCAACCAAACTTTAGGTGTATGTAGTACTCATCAATGCAAAGAAAAAAGTCTTAATAAACATGGGTATAAAAATCATTAGTTTCGGAGTTACAAGACGTTTACTCTACTGATTAGTTGCAACGACTCACCCGGTAGGTATTAGCCACGCCTACTAGTCTGTCACATGCTCGTAATTGCAAACGCCCTGTAACTCCGAAACTAATGATTTTTATACCCATGTTTATTGAGACTTTTCTGTTTATCTCGATGAGTACTACATAATCCTCAAGTTTGAACGCAACATTTTGAAGCAACGAATGATCGTATTTACAGCCCGCAAAGGATCAGTAGCAGCATGATAGCTTCGAACGCGAACAGCTATTTCCTCGACAGTTCTCTGTACTTTCCTGACCGAGAGTCAATCCTAGTGTTCGGCGGTGTCGATCCACACGAGGAATACGGTCGAATCGGAAACACCGGCAAGAACATATACAGATTTAAGCCTGACGAGAACATTTGGGAGTTCGTGGGGGAAATTCCACTGGCGCGACATCACCATTCGGTCGCTTACCTAAGAGGCCGTATTTACTTAGTGGGTGAGTCGAACGATGACGAAATGGTGTAGTTTGTAAAGTTGTCGACGAGTGAATCGCTTGTTTAAAAGAGACAGAGAAAAAAAAGGTAAAGAAACAACGAGTTTCTCGTCCCATTTACGTAGCTCTTAAGAGGGACAGCGACTCTTACGGTATAGTCTTCTTTACGACTTTGTTTTGTCGAAACCACTCATTGTGCAATGTTTAGGGCCTCGTACACCTTGAGATCTGTATCAGTGCACGTGTGGATAGATTTCTACTAAGTTATCATACATCACACACGCGTTGAGACGGAATCACGAGACATTGGTTCTGTTCAAAACGCGATGCTGAAATGCTTTCTCGAAATGCTTAGCGAGAAAAGACGTCGTGAAAGAATGCGGCCGAAAACGATGGTTATGTGAGAGAAACAATTACCGATATTCTTTAAAATTTACTTCAGGAATTAGTAAATCTTCAGGGCATTGGCACATTATTTTTTTCTGGATTGGAATCATTCTAGGGGGTGAGAAAATTTGACGAAAATTTGTTCGTCATCTATAGCTGAGGATCATCCTGATATCGATATTTCTATCAGTTGCGCGCCGAAGGTATCGATATTTCACGATAGTGACACTGACGACGAAACCAGCTGATACAGTCGAATAGGAGACTAATGAGATTTGAGGTCTCAATGTTTACGAAACTCTTTAAACGTGTAAGAGAGGTAACGTGAACGGAAAAGGGAGTAAAATATTTTTCACCAGGAGGTGCAGATCCCCTGGAAGACAAACTTCTCAGGAAGAGCATCGCGGTTGGAAACGTATGGAGTTACGACCCAACTACCAGGACTTGGTTCAAAGAACCTGGAATGCTGACAGCCAGAAAGGACTTCGGATTGGTGGTCAGCCACGGGAGAATGTACGCGATAGGAGGGCAAGGCAGGAACGGGATGTGAGTTGTTACCAGTGGTAGACAGGGAGCAGCGTAATTACGCTTCTCCCTCTATGCGTTTTCCTTCATTTTCCTCGCTGTTTATTTCTACGCCACGCGACGCTAATTGCGGCCAATTTAAGCCTCTCTTAATTGTCATCATCGTCACGGTTTAAGCGAAACTATTCGATTTACGATTACGTAAACGATAAGAAGAAGACTGAATCATTTTTTTTCAAGAATTTCTTATTTGTGATGGATACTAAATTAAGATTTACTAGTTTTTAGTATCTGTTTTAAATTCAAAACATTTCCCCGTCTTATGGCAATTTTAAGAAGATATTTACGTAATTTCACGTGACTTAGTGGAATGATAAATGTAACTTGGAACATTAATTGTGAGAAGACTTGTATTAGGCACTGCGTTCTGTTTTTGCATTGGAGCTAAATTAAAGATGATGCTGAAGCCGCTGGAACGATCCTATAACTCTCGAAACATGCGAAAAATGGTATCAGCGATTTCGAGAAGGAACATTCGGCTTGAGTGATTAGTCTTGTTTCAATCAGTCGAGGAAGTTTGAGGATACTGAATTGCAATAAGCGATTTTTAATCTTCGTTGCGATGTATCCTTCAAACCTGGCTCCAACGGAATTTTGTTACGTGACACGTAATTTAAAACGATCGAAGAAGTGAACAAATTTGTACAGATGAATCCATCGAATCAAAACCGCGAAATTTCAAAATTTCAAAATGTTTGCCAAGCACATTCTGTATCGGGGCATTTTAAGTTCATTTTTCGTACAGCCCAAATTCTTTTTCGTTTCTTCCGATTAAATCGCATTTTCGACATTTTTCATGGCAAATTTTATATATTTCACTTTATTCAATATATTTTGAAAAGGTAAGTGACGGTTTATATGCGTTTCTGTTTGTGATCCCAAACAGAAGATCCCTCACGTATGAGCGACGCTGTGCAGAATGTGTTAAGTTGATATCAGCTCACAAATGAAATTTGAATGTCCTTTAATGTCCTTCCTGCAGAAGCTGTTCCTCTTTCGTCTTCGACACTGACGTATACACACGATAAGATCGTTCTTTCTCTTTGTCGCAGAGCTTTGAAGACAGTAGAGGCTTTCGATCCCACGGATTCCACGTGGAGGGAAGTGCAACCGATGCAGACCGCGCGGGTTGGACCGGCCAGCGTGAAATATCGGGATTTTATCTGGGTCGCTGGCGGGATGACAAAATCGAAAAAGGAGCTATTCTCGAAGGACGTGGAGTGCTACGACCCGATCAACAATTTGTTAGCTCGATACCCGTCGCGTCTCTCTCTCTCTCTCTCTCCATTCTCCCATTAGCTGGATTAAACGCTCGATTTATCGCAGTCCGCGAGCGGCGAATGCAGAGAACGGTTATCGATGCGTTTGTTTCAGATGGCTGAAAACGGTGCCTTTGAGGTCGCCAAGGTGCTTTGCCTCCTTCTACGTCTTGTCTGATTGTCTTTACATGATCGGCGGAGCCTCGACTACGGAGAACGCCACTCAAAGCGTGGACAGTGTGGACGTTTGGGACGGAAACGATTGCGTTTGGAGGGAACACGCGACAATGTCGATCGCTAGACACGGACATTCTATCGGTTCGATAGGTCTGTTTTTACGCAGTCAAGAAAGAAACGTTGTAAACGTTAATCTTCATTTTCTTCTTTTCTTTCGCTGCCACTAGAAATTCGGAGAAATTTCATTCTGGACCGCATATGCTGCGTCGGTGGCAGCGAACGTATCGCTTGAAAATTACACCTCATAGAAATTGCTATAACTGAAAAGTACCAGCTTCGTTTGAAATGATAATACTCTTTTTTTAACGATTTCACTGGTAATTCATTTATTGCATTAGAAAATACGTCATGGCTGACACGTGGTATATACAGGGTGTTCCATAATATATGGACACAACTTCAGTAGTGGATTCAGCACATAAAAATAAGAAAAAAGATTCATATGAACATATGTTTATTCACATTGACAAACTGAGCCCGTTTCGTTCAATTGTTTATAAACAACGTTTGATATCTGATTGATT